AGGAAGATTGTCTTATTCTATCTATTTTGGGGCATGCTTCTTCATCATCCTTTTACTTAATCCTTCGAAAATGTGATAAGAAAGGAGTTCATATATTATGACGAGGCGTAATTGATCTACGTATTTTGTTCGTATATTATCAATGTCTATGACGTTTTCATGATACTGTCTGTCATGATCTATGAGAGGAGACTGGAGGCAAATACAAAGTAGAGTTCGGGTATTCCAAAAAAATGGCATTGAGAACGGAATTGGAACCGGTTTTTTAAAAATTTTCTTGGGACTGGAAATATTACATAATTGACTAGAGACAAAAATTCTTAAATCTATGATGAAAGGCCTTCATTTTTTTTCATTCTTGAGATTAAGAATTTCAGTGTTTATGTATACTATTGTTTTGTTTTAGCACTGAAATGTGTGCTGTCTTTAATCTCAATAAGTTAATAGTGAAAGTTTCTCAAAATGTAAAATTTTCGTATATATTTGATGAATTTAAGAGTTTCGATTCCAGGTGATATTTTGCGAACTGAACTAGAACTGCGGTTTCAGTTCTCTATATTTCGAGCAGAAAGGTTTTTTTGTTTCCTTTTGTTGATATTCGTTCGTTGTTTTTCATTTTCGTATTCCTCTTTATCTTATTTTAACATTATTTTTATCCTAATAATTGATTTTATTGACAAATAAGCCTGTTGTACATATTCATTATATCTACATCAAATCTCAACATACAATCAAATATCTCGATAATCACCACTGTGGATCATTCCCTAAAGTTATAACTTGATGAATTCAAACGTTTAATGTAGATCGTATGATGACTATCACAAATCCATGCATGACTACCAATTATCCTTGACATCTTAAATATTAATTTTTATTTGCGCCAATAAAAAACTAACCTATTTAGAACAATCACAAACGTATTTAAGCTATTCAAATTGCGCGAAAGATTTTAGAAAGGTCTAAGTCTTGTTGTTAACACTCTTCAGAACTGTTTTTCCATTGGTAAGGAACCTTAGGAAAGGAATCTGATGTCTGTTGTCTTCAGTTGCTATGAAAACATACTCAATAAACTTTGATCTTTAATTCCTCTTCTCTTCGAAAAACATCATGTAAGTTCCATAAAAGAACAATACTAGATATCGTTAATTGTTAGCGAGTAGAAATATATTCTTACCGATTTGATGGTGGTAAACTTTCACAAAGTGAAACAGCTCCTGTACCAGGTAATGCTTTTGTACTTTCATTACTTCTATCATCAATAAGATGTGCAACACTATTTGATAAACTAGTTGAATCACCTCCTATTGTTGGATGTGTCATCACGCTTTGATTATCTGAAGAAGGAAAAACAATTTTCAATTTAATATTTCTATAATTTTTTTCTTTACCATTAAGAAGCGTTCGTGCAATAGGTACGTCACGTAAAGAAAACGGTAAAATATTATCTATATTAGGACTATCACCATCTGACAATTCATTTCGTGTACCAACACCACAACCACCTGTTCGACATAAAGATATTGGAATTACCTAAAATTAATATAAAATGGTATTTTTTATATGTAACAGAAATAATGACTTACTCCATAAACATAAGCTAAAAGAATCGGTACACCAATTCCAACAGCAAGTGCAGCAATAATTGGTGATGCAACAACACTACCAACAACGCCTAATGTAACAAGAATATTTCTTTTTGTTTTACTATAATGTGATTTATTAAATTTTTTAAATATTTTTCGACCAGCCCATACAGGTACACCAATAATAACACCTGGTACAGCAACACCAGCAATCAAAGCAATAATAACTGGTGCACCAATTAATGTAGCAACTTGCCAGAGAATAACTTTTTTTCTACTCCATTGTTTTTTACCCCAAAATGTGCAACCCGATGGACTAAAAAAACAAAGGACATTTTAGAAATGAAACTTTGTACTTGTTAAAAAATTCAATTTGTAATTTTTTACCTTAAATAATGTAAATCGGATATTTCTCGACCACATAACCAACAAAATTCAGCTTCACATATGGGACATGTCATATGATTCTATAAATAATTAATTAAATAATTTTTTTTTTATTCTTAATGATACTATTAGATAAAATCGTAAATCTACTAGGCAATTAGATTTCATTATCAATTGAATGAAAATATAAAGTATGAAATTCTGCACATATTTGTCTGTTTTTTTTTATTTTTTGCGGAATGCAAACAAAAATTTTTGGTGAACTAAAGAATCTTATGGAGTCTACGGCCGATGCATATTTTCGATAATAACTATGATAACCATAATCTTTTCTTTTGCAAACTCCAAATGAAAACTAATTATGTACAACGACGTAGTTTTTCATGCTCTATAAAGGGACATCGCGATGAGTCTTATGCAGGGTCAAACAGGTACGATATTATACTTTCTAATCCTGTATAAGTTTAATCGATATGACAATTTATAGGGCATGAAGAACTACGTCGATCTAAATGATTAGTTTTTATATTAGATTTAAAATAGAACAATTATGAGTACTAAACAATATAAATAGAGAGAAATGTGCAGAATTTCATGCTCTATATTTTTATTCGATTAGAGACGAGATTTAAGTGGGTAGCAGATTTACGATCTTATTGGACAATATAGTTTTTAACTTACACAAGAACCATCATCCATTTTCAGTATAGATGCTTGACATCTCGGACATTGTTTTATTTCATCTCTTTGTTGAGCAGAACCAAGACTTATAAAAGAACCTGATCGAATTTTACTTGATAGTTTTTCTCTTGCTGCATCTTCACATGTTTTATTTGGATGCCATATTGCTTTACAATGATAACAAAATGATGTATTACATCCCGGTCTAAGACATTGAATTTCTGGACATGATGCATAACCAGATGCAATAACTGCAAAACCACAATCAGGGGCTGGACACCATCGTGTATCAGCTATAGATTGTAAAACACGTCGTACCATAAATTGTTCATATTTTGATATAAGATCCGGTTGTTTTTCTAATATACGTGATATATCACTTGGATGTATACGTTCTGGACAATCACTTTGTGGACAATTAAGTGTTACACGACCTTCTGTTATTTCTAATTTTAAATAACTTTTTAAACATGTTCGACAATATGAATGTGAACAAAGTGTTAAACGTTCAAAATCTTCTAATGGATATTCTTGACAACATAAAACACATGTTTCAATATTATTATTATTATCATGTAATTGATTTGTTGTTGTTGAAGGTATTATATTAATAACATGTTCATTAGCTGATGCAGCAACTGATTCGATTAATTCATCTTTGATAAATGCTAATGATGATGTGATAGAACCATTATCATGAATTGATATAGTAGAAAAATTTTGCTGTTGTTGTTGTTGTTGTTGTTGTTGTTGTTTAGATAAATTTGTATCACGTGGACGAGAAAAACGTACAGATGATGAAGGGCGACTAGTAGTAAAGCGAAGAAGATTTAGAAAACGACGACGTACACTTTCATTGTCATTATTCGATGTACTAGTATTTGATAATCCTAAAAGAAAAATAAATTTTCATTGGATAAACAAAATGATTCTTTCTTTTTTTGGATACTTTGAGTTGTTGGTTGAGTAGATGTACTGTTCGTAGGTAAAGAAAGGAAATTTGAATTCATTAGAGATGATGGTGTTGTTGTCACCGGCGGTCGATCTTTTGTTGATATAGAAGATGAATCTGTAGTTGGAACTTGTTTTATTGAAGTACGTTGATTACGAGTTTTAGAAAACATTGTCGATGAAGAGAACTTGAAAAAAAAATTAAAAAAAATAACATCAAACGTTCTTGTTACGTTGTGACTTCTCTCACCGCTTCTGCAATTTCAGTATTACGGGTTTCTTTTGATCTTTTAGAAATATCAACAGAACATTTTCGTTTCGAACCAATATTACCCATATTTACATTCAAGAGAAAAATAATAAACACTAGCTTTTTCGTACGAAAATTGATAAGAAAAAATGAAAGCGAAAGTCCTTAAAATGACACCTTATATTCTGTTTTTGACAAATACGCTGATATGTAATGTCTTATCATTCTGTTCTAAATCGAATAGTAGCAAAATTAATTATGACTCACTTTACTGTTAAATTTTTATTGAACTAATATCATAATGAATAAAATAGAAGTAACAAAATCTTCGTTTTTATTATGCGTAAAAGACAACGTATGTAAATAAATCTAAAAGATATGCTGTAGAAAAATATTTTATTTTGTACACATTTATAATGGTAGAGTCTTTACATATAAATAACAATCTACGTAAGTCAAAATGTGAAACATTGACGTCTTTTTAATTTTATGATTAATTTATGAATGACATATGCATTTATCTTTTCTTTTTGAGTAAAGTATTCAGAGGAAAAAAGTCATGATTTAGTCATTTTGTTTTCGAAGAACAGAATTGTTGTTGTTTACTTTACAAATGCTTAGAGCCAATCATAAGCGAATCTATGTATGATTGGTAAGAAGAATTGAACCAATAACAAAGAAAACCTTCGGAGAGACAGAAAAAAAGAAAAACTTGTACTTCTCTTAGTAGATGTTATTTCAGTTATGCATTTAATCGATAATTTTGAAGCAATGAGTTTTATGCAATTATTAACATATTAAAAAAATTCTAAATTTAGTTTATAATAGAAGTATACACTTCTTATTAGGGGCAAGTGTGTGTAAGCATGTATTTAAAATAGAAAAAAAAAACATTTCGCTTCTGCTGCGCTCTATAATTTGCACTCAAATATTTCTTGGCAAATTAAAAAGAAGTTGTCAATGCTTGTAATTAGTATATGATGATTATATTTCTCATTTAGTTATCTACTAACTCATATAAAAGTGCTCTCGATTTCTTCATTATTTCAAGATGTCGCTGGTGAGAAATGCATCTATTCATCAGTCTAAGAACGAAACTTTCTGACAATATACCATCAATTGATTTTTATTCTAAAAATTGAACAATGTTCGGCTGTTGTATACCTCGGGATCAATCAAAACGAACGAACAAAAGGATTAATGCATCATTAGAACGAGATAGAAAAGAAATGCATGCTGAATCGAAATTACTTTTACTTGGTAAATGAATAATTTTGTCTTTGTTTCATTTAATGTTGACAAAGAAATAAAAATAATTTTTTAGTTAAAAATTTTGATAGAACGTATGTTTTGCTCAAAAAGATTTCTTTGCTTTAATTAGGGTTTTTCTATTTTATTTATTGATTTGGTTTTTTTTATTTTAAGGTGCGGGAGAATCTGGAAAGAGTACAGTAGTAAAGCAAATGAAGTGAGTGTACATTTAGTTGTTTGATTTTCTTTTTTTTGAAGAAGAAGATTTAATCGATTTTAGAATCATTTTTAATGAAAATGGTTATACGACAGAAGAATGTCTTCGTTTTAAACCTGTCATTTTTTCTAATACAATTCAATCAATGTTAGCAATTTTACAAGCAATGAATCGATTAGAGATATCATTCGCGAATCCTATTCGACAGGTATGTAAAAGATTTGAAAAGACAAGTGAAGCTTGATATAGAAGATCAATCATCTTGTTTGTTTCTTATCGAGGATAGTATTGAAGAAACAACTATACTTCAAAATTTCAATGCAACTTGTTAACTAGAATTTGATCGTCGCTTCAAAGACGCTAAGATAATTTTTAACTATTACGTGTATTCTGTCACTAACATACCTGACACATGTCTCATACAATCCTGAGGACAATCTTATAATAATCAAGTCATCATCGACTGTTACCTTCACAGTATGATCTGTTGAATGCGGGACTAACTTGACGAGTTCCAAACTGTAGGCCATATAGAATAAATCCGCACGTTTTTATATTTCTAATTTTCAAAATCATTGTATCAAAAGACTTTTAATTGTGTTTAATTAGCAATAATTTCATAAAGATTTGAAAGAATTTTCAAAATTAAAAAAGATATCGAATTATTTTTTTTTACTTGATAAACCTACAAAAGGGACGTATTTTCATAATAATATATTGATTAGTATTTTAGTTACTTAATTAACCGAGCGTCGTTGAGTAGTACAAAAAAAAACTGTTAGCGTAATCCTCATAAGATTGAAATTTGAAATACAATGCAGCTGTTGTTGTTAATCACAGGGAGATTGTTTTATTCTATCTATTTTGGGACACATTGCTTCACTATCCTTTTGCATAATCCTTCAGAAACGCAATAAGAGAAGTAGCTCATATGTTACAACGAGACACTATTGATATACAATCTGTGATAAAGCTCATCTGATAGACCCAGACTAGAAAATTTCGAACCATCCAAGTTCTTATCACCAAATACAAACAATTTGAAAAAAAATATCTCGTGCCTTTGGACTAACTATCCAATTTCGATTAGAAAATTTCATTCAGAGTATCACAGTACGGTTCGATGGGTTCTAGTCTATGATCGTATATCAACAGTATTTGCCACGATCTGTGATGAGCTATTTCGAATGTGGCTGTGACGAGAGACGATGGATATCCGAATTTATATTTCAACACTTCTTTTTTTGATCGTATTTTACACAAGAGAGATCATTCAAGAAAGTTAAAAACTTGATCTTTATCATTTGAATTCCTTTGTTCACTATCTAAATCGAAAAAAACATGTAGTTTATATATTACAAATTATATATAATCGATATAAGTTTCTTTTAGAAAGATGCTGAACTTGTTTTTGCTCATATTCAATTAGAAGCTAATCATGAAAGATTACCAGCAAATATTGGTAAAGCTATGCAAGCATTATGGAATGATCATGGTGTTCAAAGTTGTTTTTTACGTGCTCGTGAATATCATCTTAATGATTCAGCAGCTTAGTATGTTTAATAAAAAGTTTTCTTACCTTATTTTTTTTTTTGTTTCTTTGTTTTGTCTATAAGCTATTTTAATTCACTTGATCGACTTATACAATCTGATTATATTCCTACGCAACAAGATGTTTTACGTACTCGTGTTAAAACAACCGGTATTGTTGAAACAACATTTACATTAAAAAACCATAGATTTCGGTAAAATTTTTATTTTTCACGAAAAAACTTTCTTATTCATATCTATGAATTAAAGGGTTGTTGATGTTGGTGGTCAAAGAAGTGAACGTAAAAAATGGATACATTGTTTCGAAGATGTAACAGCTATTATATTTGTTAGTGCTCTTAGTGAATATGATCTTGTCTTAGTAGAAGATGATAGTATCGTAAGACGATATTAATTAATCTTGTAAATTTTTGTTTTTGTTTTGTTTTTTGTGTTTTAATTTTAGAAACGTATGCAAGAAAGTTTACAATTATTTAAATCAATTTGTAATAATCGATTTTTTCGACAAGCTGGAATGATTTTATTTTTAAATAAAAAAGATTTATTTGCAGAAAAATTACGTTTTTCATCAATACATATTTGTTTTCCTGAATATACTGGTTTGTTAAATATCAAATCAAAAGATAGTTTTGATATATATTTTGTTTTTTTTTTTGAAAATATTTTAGGTCCTAATACATATGAATCTTCACTACATTATATTCAAGAACAATTTGAAAAAATGGATTTGCGTGAAAAACATAATGGTCATGAACGTGATTTATATACACATATAACATGTGCAACAGATACCGAAACAATGCAATTTGTCTTTGCTGCTATATCAGATATGATTATACAAACCAATCTTATTAATGCAGGAATTTTTTGAGAATTTATTCATGTACATATTTGCTATTTACACATAATTAAATAATTAATTACACGAATTTTTTTTTGTATTATTAGTCTTCTTTTGCATTTATTTACTTTTTTTCTATCTCCTTTTCGGTTGTCCTTTTGAAAAATAAAATTCTGTAAAGTATTGTTATTTATATGTCAGTTTAAACATCGATTAGACTTTGATTCTTTATAATGGTTATTTTTTTTTGAATACGCTCTCTTCATATGAATATATCGGCCATTTCATCCGTTGGCGACGTAACTTCGCAAAATTAAAACATGTGTATCTTTGGATAATGAACTTTCCTAGAGCTAATTTATTTATGTTATATGTATGTCAAATTATTTTAAATGCCCTGAAAACATCAAGGGATGGAGAACTTTGTTCAGAGAAATTATCAGTAAAAAACCTAGTGATAATGACATGTCGACGTTCACTTCATGTTCTTTCAGCTAATACCTAATTAAACTTAATTAGTTATTTTATTTAAGTGTAATTAGTAAATAACTCTCTGATATTATGACGGACAAACCTAAATATTTTAGCATAAACTCTATACCATAAACTATATTTATGCAGAGATTTTCAGTAAAGTTGGTCTTCTAGACATCTACTTATATTCCAGAAAGGGATTTTTTGTTTTAATATCATCTCAAGATGCTCAATATGGCTTTGTATTATTTAGAATTGATTTTTAAATTTGTCATTCAATTACAAGAGGATTTTTCGTTTCTTCATTCGTACTCACTCATGTCATTAACAATGAGCGATTTTCATCTTTTGCAAAACTTAAGTATACTCACGACAAATTCTGCAGAGAAATGTTGAAACCTAAAAGGTTTTCAAAAATACTATTCGAACTTGTAAAGTTTTTAAATTAAAACGTACACAATCAGAATTTTATTTCTTTCTGTATCACGTCACTAACCCAATGATATTGCTCATATTCTTATTCTAATTACTAATTAACAAGATAGTACTCATAGTAGTTGATGAACGTTGTTTCATTTACATTGAAAGATAATGTCTATTTAAAAGTTTTTTTAGATAAAAAACAAAACCGAGAGAGCATGACATAAAGCAGAAACACATTTTGGTTTACTTTTAATTAAACGTGTATTACCTGACACAGCCAGAAACCAAGATTTTAATAGAGAAAATGATATTATGACACGCTTTAGATAGAAGAAACAATCCGGATTTGTTGTAATCATTATATTTATCTATTAATAGCATTTTAATAGGTTTACATTATATCAAAATGGGGCCCGTTGACATGGATGGGTCAGCTTTCACATTCTTGAAATCATGCATCATGTTTTCTAATACAACTGATGAAACATAAAGTTCTGAACGAAATGTACTTAACTTGATTAGATTTAAGTACATGGTAGGTGCTTTTGCTTGCTATTTCTCACATATTATTATTATTATCATTCATGAGTGATAATCATTGACCTGTATTGTATTCAGAAATTGAATGGGAAAAAGCAGACATGATGAGAGGTTATTAAATGTAGTTTTATAAGTGATTTTAAAAAACTAGAAGTTAGTATCATGCAACATATGCGATATTGAAAACTTGGAATTAAAGAAAACGTTTCAGAACACAGATAGAAATAAATAAAAATTTTCAAATAGTATCGAATCAAGTAATTAATTAGGGAAGGCTTTTTAAAATGGTTTTCGTAGTACGCGTCAACGATTGAACTAGCTTCGAATGATTTTTATATTATAATAATGGTGAAAAGGTGATAAACAATTTCTGAAAATATAAAATTCTTTGTAACGTTCAATCTTCATAATATTTTCTGCTGAAAACTGGTTAAAAAAATTTCAAAATATATCAATACATATTGTTCTTTGTCGGCGATTGAACGATACTAGAACTAGAAGAAAAATATTGAAAATGCTGAGAGCAAATTCTCTTTGAAAACAACTGCATTTTCGAAATGATAAGATTTGAGAAAGTGTGTATCAACTATAAAATTTGTCATCATTTGATTTATTTTTAAAGAAATTGTTTTAAATTCTCTGACAATCTATAATGTTTCAGAACTCTCTATACTAAATATCCTTATTTATAGATATGTTATAGAGAGGAACTATGTTAATAGAATTGTAATCGTTATTGAAGAATACGAATAGAATCTCCTTTCGATCCTAATTTAACGACGGTTTTCCAAGGAAACGGACAGCTAACAACGTCAATAAATAATTGAACTAGTCGATTAGTTCGATTATGTTGTAACTGAATCTGTCGATTATCACAGTCTAATGTTAATATTACATCATCACCTGTTGTAATGAATTTATGATCGTCACTTTTTTGAGCTTCACCATTTACTACAGCTCTAGCTAAATCCCACCATCCATTAATAGATTTATCATTTACATTATCTTGTGTTATCTTTGTATACGATGGAGTAATTCCGAAAAATATACGTGAATTTCCAATTTTATCAATTCGATAATGTATATGATGTGTTCCAGATGAATAACGATTACTACCGTAAATAATCGGATAAGAAATAAACATTGCATTACATGTAATAACAAGACATTCTTCGGATGTTATTGCTTTTCCAATAATTTCATCAAATCTTTCACTAGAAGAAACTGACTTTTCAATAGCAAGAATATGATCTTGAAAATTTTCCGAAGCGAGATAAGAAGAGCGATATTGTTGTTGTTGTTGACTATGTACACTGATCAATGGAATTATTAATTTTAATGATTCATCTTCAGAAATAGAAATACTCGATGATGATTTAAACGTCTTACGAAGTATTCGTAGTTCTTGAGTCCATTTTTTAATATCTATTTCTGTATAATCATCGAACTCTCGACTTGATCGAAGTTCTTCTGTCAGTTTACTAATGGATTTCTCTAGTTCATTTTTAGTACGATCAAGTAATTCTCGAAGTTCAGTTCGTGCTGTTTCTGCTGCTATTTGAATTTTATTAATAGATTCTTGTTCCCATGTATTAATTCGACAAAAAAGAGGATGTTGTGTTATGTTGTTATCTAAAGATTGTCGAAGAAGATCACGTTTTTGACTTATAATTTCCATCTGATTGGCAAGTTCTTGTCGATGTTCATTAAAATGGTTGATACAATACACTTGTTGACAACCATTACATGTCGTTATTCCAGCAGCTTTACTGCATTTTATACATGGTGGTTTCATATGCATTGATGCCATTATTATACTTATATCAGATAACTAACAATATTCTATAAAAAGAAGAAAACAATAGTAAACTCGATTTTTATTAATTTGTTGTTCTTTTTACTTCATTTTAATACAATACACATTCAAAACTAACGTCAATCACATGGACTGAGTAAATACTTTAGTTTATTAACTTTCAGAGAGGAAGAAAAAAAAAACATTTAAAAATATGACTTGCAGAAAAGTAAAATAAAATGCATCACAAACGTTATTAAGAAAATGTATCATTTGTTGATCTGTTAAGCATTTATTCAGTCGATTTGTGTTGTGTATGAAGCTATATATAATCGACTTCATTAAATACATATACTACTGCATGTCTTTGTTTGAGATCGATCGATGATTAAGAATAGATTATAGTTGAAGGCGAGATTCAAATTATATTTTCAAAATATGTTACACAAGATACTGTGTTTCACTTAATACCACACCTTTTATATTAATGTGAAATTTCGAATAGAATAAATCGATTATAATTGTATGGAAATGTTTTCCTTCCATAATCGAAAGATAATTGTTTTTTTTTAATGGCGTAACTAACCGAACTGAGCTAGAAGACGACTGATTCTTTCTCCCCTTATTGATCGCAGCGATATTACTAGTTAAAGTCTGTGACAAGCTCTTCAAGTCATCGACGAGTCTCGAATTTTAGGAAAAGGAAGTGATGCATATTTACGATCAATATAGAATAGTGACATCTATGTCATGTTCAAAGTATATGTTCATTGGTTCATTCAAGTAAAAGGCACGAAACAAAGACGAAAACGAAACAACTATCAATATTTCGAAAAGAAAAGAAAACCATTTGCTCATCGAATTTTTTCTTCAATTTGTTTGTTTTTTGTAAGAAAAAAAAAAGAGTAAAGAACAATGTCATTCAATACATCAATTCAAACGTTAACACTTGCTTGGAATGAGAAACGTTTTAATGAATCAAAATCTGCACGTAATGCAGCTCGTCGTAGTATTTTTCGAGCAGCATCTAGTAAGTTACAAAAAAAAAAGAGAGCAAGATTCGAATTCAAACATTTCACCTATATTCTAGTTTTACTTAATACTGAATTAAAAATTCTTCAAAGTCAAAATGATGATATTCAACATGAAATCAATCGTTGTCAAAATGATCTACAAAAATATGATAATAAACTACAAATGCTTGATAATATGACTCAATTAGCTACACAATCACTTGAAATTTATTTTCAAGCCGTAAATAATATTTTTTGAAGAAAAACAAATCTAATAGATGAGAATTTTTTTTTTTTTCATTAGCGTATGGAAAATTTACGTGCATTTGTTACTGAACAATGTCGTATTATATCTGATGGTATTCAAGAAGAAGCTGATCATTGGAAAGAGATTCATGCTATGTTACAACAGTACATTAATATCAAAATCATTTAGATTGATTTTATTTATTTATTTTTTTTGTATAGAAAATTAGTTGTACCAGGTGATTTACGTTCATATGGTGGCGGTAATGGATTACCTCGTGCTGTTAAACAAAGTCCAAACTTTAGTCAGATTGCTGAAGAAGAAGAAGAAGAAGAGGAGGAAGAGATGGAGGAAAAAGAAACTGATGTATCTACATTGTTGGTAAGATTATCATCTCTACATCATGTTTATATGAGAATGTTATAAAACAAGTTTTGCTTTTTTTTTTCAGCAATCACGAACATTAACACCATTGATTACTCAAACATTAAAAAGTCAGTTATATCAAATGCAATTGACAAATATTTTCGAAGAAGTTTGAGTTTAAATCAAGCTGTTTTTCGGCTTCTATACCCTCTGTATTTCTTACCAAGCGTCTTGACAAAGAGAAAACTGACATTCACAATTAGGCAAACAAAGAATACAACATTAGTAAAAAGAGAAAATTTCAGTTTGACATGCAGAAATAGATAAGACGGAGTATTTTCTTAGTGACTGATGATCCTTGGAAAACATTATAGGCTGTTAGAGACAGTGTTCTATTTAGATTTTCGTAGATGAAATGCTAACTAAAAACTTTTTATTGTAAGATATCTTCTTAGAAATAAACTTTTATTTTTCATTAAATTTCAGTCTCTCTACTAGAATAGATTATGGGTAAAGTATTTCCAAAGTACTCATGAGTTATAATCAATTCATCGGTCAAAAGTACTTTTTACGTAGGCCAGATTTTCAAAATGAGGATACAAGTTAACATGTCGGAGTAGTTAGTCTTTATTACGTTCTAGCCTTAAGTATCTGCTGTGGAATACAAAAACACTACGTTTATATTGAGACAATATTAAGAAAAGTTTGCCGGCGTAAATAGTATATTCGAAAGAAGTCTGCTTATGTTACCTAATGTTTTTACACTATTCTTCAAGGTTTATTAGATGACGCATATGCGGATTTAGGATATTTCTCTTACAGATGAATGTTCACAAGAGTCAAATCGCTTTTGAGCTGAGGTTATGTGTATCGTGTAGGTTCTAATGAACTATGAATACGCTGGAAAGAGTTCGGGCTAACAGCTTATTGCTGCCAAGATATTGTCTTTTTTTCAGTAGAATACCATTTTTTCAACAAATGAATCTCCTGAAAAAATTTAAAATAGTTTGTATTAGTAAAACGAACCTAAAAACACATGTGAGTTCGAGATTTTAGTCCGAAATAGGTTACGTTGACAAGTTTTTCATTCGATTCTTTTAATATATCTAGAAGCTCGTTTACTTGCATCGAAATTGTCTCAGAATGCATCATTCAATATTCCATCAGAATTGAATATGTCAAAAACTGTTCATGAAGAAACATTAATTGAAGAACCACCAACAACTTCCATTGCATTGAATGATCATGTTACATTACGTGATGTTTCTGCTATTGAAAAAGCTATTGAAATTGATCATAATATACCTAATCCTGAATTATCTATGTCACTTTTACCATATATTCCAACAGCAAATCTTGAAGAAGAAAAACAAAATAATAAATCGATTGCTTCAACTATTTCCGATAAGACATTTGTTAAAACATCTCTTAAACAATTTTCATCGGATGAAGAAACTGACGATGACAATGATGATGATGATGAAGATACTGTTATTGAAGAAAGTTTTATTACTGATAATATTGAAAATACACGTCCATTATTATTAACTGCTGATCGATCAATTCGTAGAATAGTTACACCATTACGACAAGTAAAACCTTTATTATCAAATCAATTAAGTATTGAAAAAACAAAAATTAAACAAGAAAAAGTTAGTTTTCGAGAACCATTACATATTGAAAACAATCAATCAGATAAAACATTATTAATTAATAATAATTCAGTTGATATGGAAAAATCAAATCATGTTCGTTCAACAATTATTAATAATCATAGTACTTCAAAATTATCACCAATTAAATCTGCTGATTCGTAAGAAAATTTCATTCGTTTGATATTGTTTTAAGTAATATTTATTTAGAAATGAGGAAGAAGAAAAAGAAGATGTAATGCAAAAACCAGAAAAAACACTAATCAATGAAGAACTATCAACAAATGAACCAAAAATAAACAAAAGTCCATGTGTTGAACAAATACCTGTATCAATACCCGTTGAAAATTCTACAAAACGAAGAGCTACTCGTCGAACTACTATTCGACTTCTTCGAGAAAGTCAAAACGGTAAGAAATTTTACAATGAAATAAACATAAAATCAAGAAGTACATAAATAATAAAAAACAATTCTATATATTCAGTCTTCTTTAGTTCGTCGTACTGATTCTTAGTGAAATTCGGCAGTTTCAAAAGAAAAACTAGAGCTAGCACCGTTAAATTATCAGATAGATACAAAAATTCTTAAATCTATGTCGAGATATCTTCATTTTTTCATTCTTAAGATTGGAGATTTCAGTACATATGTATAATAGTATTCAGATCAATTACTGGAATATATGATGTCTTTCATGTGCACGATTTAATGGCTTTGGTTTCATGTGATATTTTAGAAATTGTCTAACTCTCATCTTTAGTGATAGAGGGTTCATCAACGGTTTTATTCATAAGTAAATCGTCAAATCGGTATTGTGTAAAGCTACCACCATTAACTTCGATAAAGATATACACTATTGGTCAAAAGGATCTCAGCCATTCTTAGGGATGAACATATGAAATCTTTAGCGTATAGATTATCTCAGAGTGTGGGTGTGCTAGTGTATATTTGAAGAGAAGACCGATACCTGTCCATAGATCATACATGCTTATCAATTTAAGCGATCGGAATCGAATTATTTTCGTTCACCGTAGATTTCTAGCTTAGAGTACATAAGTTAAACATTTTAAACTTGTAATCGTAAGAATGGCTACGCTTACAAAGGGATTCTTTGAACCAATAGTGTATTTCTTTATTGAGATCAATAGTGCTAGTTGAAAAAAGTAACTATTGGCGATTTCCTCTTGAATAAAAACTTGGAAAAGTCTTCTATCCTTGAGGCAAAATTCAGCTCAATTGATTAAACTACCAACGACAAAATGGTTGCGATACGTATTTTTGATGAATACTCCCATGGGTAGGTAACTGTAAGTTTACTCCATAAATCAAGATACTAGGACCAAAATACTCATAAACTTTGGCTATTTCTAACGACTGGTGAACGGTAGTTGCCGTTTTACAACAAACGAAAAATCTTTTGAGAACATTGTTTTTTTTTGTTCATTGGACTATCCATTAAAAATACCATTCACAATCATTTTGTCGCTAATAGAAAGCAGGCTAGAGCTCAATTATTTATAACTTATCCCGTGTAAGTTAAGATTATTTTTATTTTAGATAATTTACCAGCACAAGCACCCATAGAAATTCCAACAAAAACTCGTTATGCTACTCGATATTCTACTCGGTATTCTACTCGATTAGCAACTACGGTTACTCATGATGATGTTACAATATCTCGAACATCAACAGTTCATCGACGAACAACACGTTTTACTTCTGAATAACAAGAAAAATAGAAAATTTATTGCATATCTATTGATCTTGTGTTTATTTAATTAATTCTCAAATAGAATGAAATTGTATAGTTTTGTGTATAATAATGTATATTATTATTTCCTATTGTATGGTCTTTTTTGACGACATTCGTAATAAAATTTAGTTGTATTACAAAAATCATTATGTTTGATTTTGAATGTAGAAAAAATAAAATTGGCGCTTGTGTAAAATTAAATAAACATGCAATATGAAAATTTTAGTCGTCATCTTCGAGAAAAATATTACACACGTGTACATATTGCTGAACAAATTATTGATCAATTGAAATATAACAATCAACAACGAATATCAATGACATCCGTAGATAATAAATCAAATAATAAAAATATGCTTAAAGCTCAACAAGAAATATCGTTTCCATTGATATCTTATTTGAATAAAATCGAATGTGATGAACGAAATTCGAATGATAATAATAAACAATTAGAACCTTATTTGAATGAATGTCTTTTAGCTGCAGAACGTATTAAAAATAATCGACGTTCTGATCGTGATCGACAAATTTGTTATGAAAATTTTATTTTAGCAAAAAAATTAGAACATATTAAAAAACAATCTGGACAAAATGCACGTATACATTTAGAAAAAGATTATCAGAATCATTGTCGATTATTGCTATCAAAAGCTAATTATGGATATGATACGAATAAATTAATTAAGAAAAGATGCATTATGAAACAATCTTTATTATCACATGAAAAAGGTTGAGACTAGTATCTATCTACCGAACGCATCCTAGAAATCAAAAACTGTCTTTTAAACGTTAAAATATTCTAGAGGAAACCAAATTGATGAAGGCTATACACTCTTTTGCATTTTCCTCAAATCCAATTTTTAATGAAAAAAAGGTACAGAAACGCCCGCGTTTCTCCAACCTGGTATGTTCGATCAAGCTGAAACTTTTTTTTTAAATATACTGTTCGCTGTTTGAGATAGGTATTTTTTTGTTTCATAAAATATTGTTCTGGTGATCTTTTTAGTATCCCATACTAAAAGAAAACTCAATGCAAGAAACCTAGTATCTGACTCGAATCAAGTCATGAAAATTTGATCGATGCCGGACATTGAGAAAAAGATGCGTTTTTTTTTATTTCAAGGACAAATGAAAAACAAAAAAGATACCCACTTTGAACGGTGTCTAGAATCTGAAAAGAAATTTCCAGTTTGATCGAATATAGTATTTCAGAGAGAGCAGCATTGAAAAACATTAAGCCTATGGCGAATTTTACTCTACTACAATGAAATGTTTCTTCTTATTCGATATATATAGACGGATGTCATTCCAGTGTTTAGGACACGTTGACATTATCTCTGTTAATAATAGTAACATGAACAGAAAAAACGTGATAATTAAATTTTCGAAATCAACCAATACTTTTTTTTAAAAGGTTTCAATGAACTATGATTTCATCATATGCAATGTAACACAATTATACACAGCAATACGTAGTATAGCTAGGTTGTAGCTTACATCTGTACCCACACGCCAAGTATCATGTCTTCTGTTTACATTACTATTATCAACAGAGATACATTTATAGGACACTCTTTATATAAAAAAAAAAACATCTATGTTTACATTGATAGTGATAGATTCGAACGAAGACGGATCCTTTGAAATGGACATGACTTCTTGTCATTCGTCACTACCAATCAAGAATGAAAGTGTACCATGTTCTTCTGATAGTGAAGATGATCAAGCAACAGCAGCTGATGTCGATGCTAATATGGATTATTATGATGCAAGATCATTTAAACAACAAAATATATGTCGAAAAAATCGTAATTTTACTTGTGGACAATTGATGTCGACAAAATCTAAAGAAGTTTATTCTTTGAAGAATCAAAACCAAAAATTTTTCGAAACAGAAAACGATCATGTTTATCAACATCTCAGCAATATCGATATGATGATGGTTAGAGATACAATGCCTCTGACAACATCTCAAAATTCAAGACATTTTTCTATATGTATTCTTCCTCATTTTGATTCTGATATGATGAAATCGAAGAATGATCATTCAAAAGTTTTATTACATGATCGAAAATATGCATTTAAAAAAGAGATTTTGTATCATTAGATTTTCAATAAATGGTTAATTATCATGCACTGATTTAGCTTTTATTGATGATCACTAACTCTGCAATATCACCATTAACTATTGGTTGCATTAAACAAAACGAAATAAGGAAAAGTCTTATATTATATTTTTTTTCTGAGTCAATTTTTTTGTACTATGTGTTGTCAAAGAAGAGAAATAATTTATTGCGATGATGACAGACATGCATGTATATTAATATTTGTAAATACATGCTTTTCATAGGTTAAAAATTGATTACTTATGAATGACAACGATGTCTTACTGTGACAGTTTATGCTTGAACAAAATCCAATTTAATATCTTCAACCTTTTGACAAGAAATGTTCAGAAACTAAGTCTTTTCTTGATATGATAGTATACAGATAATATTTCATACGTTATATTATCGTAGTGCACACAGAATGGGAATGCAAAAATGTATCAACATCTTTAGTGACATTTTCAAATTATTGTATTCTTACAATTTAAAATAAACCTTAGTATATAGAAGAATGAGTTTTATATTCAATGTTCATATCGATCCTATCATGTTGTTTCGAAATTTTAAGATTAATAGGCTTTCTAATAAAGTAGATGAAGTGTATATTATATAAAAAAGTTCTTCAAAGTGTTAAAAGCTATGGCTAGAACATCTATAATGACGAATAGAAGTTGCGATACACAATGTTACAAAAGACCAAACTACCAAAAAACATTAATATCTCTTTAACCATCAAACATTTGATTTATGACTTTTTGGATTTTTTATTGAACACTCCTTAAAGGAATATAGAAGTCATTGAATCGAACAAATTTTTTTCATCTTAGACATATGAAGAGCAAATTGTTTTTTTATCGTGAATATGTGAAGTAGCCTTATTTCGTTATAAATAAAAAACATAAATGTGTGTACTTTGATCATCTAAATATGAATGATGAAACATAACCAGGTAATGTTACTTGATGTTGTCACTGATAACCTGTTACAAATGACGTCAGATTATTTGTTTTTTTACATCTCATCAGCCACTTTTTATCAACATAGTGAGTATAAAAACGTTGCATTCATAGGAATAATAGAATAAAAGAAATAATTAATGTCTTCTACTTCTGACGAAAGGAAAACTATTCTGATTGTTGGAGCTGGTCTAGGTGGTTTAGCTCTTGCTCAATTATTACAACAAGAATTTTCTTCTTCTATTCAAGTAATTGTATTTGAACGTGATGCTGGCGAAAATGTTCGTGATCAAGGTTACTTTATCACGATTAACCAAATGGGAACAGATGTTCTCAAACGTATTGCAACAGTTAATGATGTTTTTTCTCATCCATCAACTATGTCTTATAGTCAATATCAATTGAAACTTGCAAATAAATCTATGAATGTCATACTTGAATCGACTTCAGATGAAATGAATATAATTAATCGAGGACTTTTACGACGAAGTCTTCTTAAAAATATTGATGTTCAATGGAATAAACGATTTGTTTCATATAAAATTCTCGATGATGGTGTTGAAGTGTACTTTGAAGATGGATCAAGAGTACAAGGTACACTACTTGTTGGTTGTGATGGAGCTAAATCACTTGTAAGAACTCAACTTATACCAGATCTACAAGGAAATTATGCAGGAGTTATTCATGTAGCAGGTACTATTGAACATAATGAAGAATTAAGACAAATTAAACAGTTAGTATCGAATAGCCTTGTACAAGTATATGGTGATCAAGGATATTCATTGTTCTTGGTTTCTACTGGACAGTTATGGCTTTGGTCTCTTTCATGGCCAAGTGCAGATAGAATCGAAACAGAAATTTCATTAACACAGTTACTTGATAAAGTTCGTACTAATTTTGCTAATGAAGAATTTGTTCGTTTAATACAATTATCTTCATCAATATGTCTCAATACACTACCTATTTATTCTTTTCCACCTTTAAAAGTTAATCCATTTCAAAATAATTCTCGAGTAACATTACTTGGTGATGCTGCTCATTTAATGACTCCTCATCGTGGAATGGGTGCAAATACAGCTTTCGCTGATGCATTCGATCTTATTGATGTCATACGTTCTGGCCATACTAAATCTTCTCTTGCGAATTATGAAGAGAAAATGTTTAAGCGTGGGTTTCAAGCCGTTCGAGATTCACTTGAAACTACTCGTATAACACATATGTTAGGTGTACCAGCTCGAATACGTGACTATATTATTTGGTTTTTACACTATTCTATAGCATTAAAAAATTTAATATCGATGCCATTTTCTTGGTATTGGCAAGAAAAAACTAAGAATTGAGTATTTTATATTGTAACTCTTTATGATTAAAAATATAATGAAAAGTTTTGCTTAGATGCTATGATTTAATAAGTCATTTAATTTTCTTGAACTTTCGTGAAGAAATTTTTAAATACTTAAGCCAAGATATTATGAATCGGTTTCGACTGTAATCAGCCGTATATCTTCGGAAAAAACTCGTAAACTTTCCAATTCGAAATACTGCTTCCATGTTGCATCGATTTTTGATATTTTCCTGCCGGATACGATGGTATTTTCCGCATTTTATCGGTTGGTTACTGTGATATTAGGTTGTCTCCGAAGTCCAGAATCATTGACCTGGGTGCATGGTTTGAGGAGTACAGAATTCTAGAAATCCTTTGTGTCTAAATAATCATGCACGGACTAGGATTATACGTTAATTCGTTTATGCACTGTATGCAATACTCATGGGATATTTGAAGTATGAGCTTTCTGCCAAAAAAAGAACATATTTCAAACAAGAATGCATATAACTTTTTGATTATTAGTAAACCTACACTTTTAATTATTATTGTACCTATAGGCGATTTAGAAGTCTTTGCACAGCTTTTAAAGAATAGAAGCTGGTAGGAAATTTAAAAATGTGCATTTTATTAAAATATAATTATATGATAGGTAACGTTTAGGGTCTCCTTTTTGTAATATCAACGTTTTTTCTTGATTGCTGAAGATGAGGATGAGTCATGAGTAGCGTCTTTTGTGCGATTTCAACAGCGCGTTCACTATACCTTACAGATATGGCACGTTTTTCCATTCTATCATACAATCTGTTAATGCTGTCGAAGACTGAAACCAAATCTAGACGATATGCTGAAAGGGTTTTTTCATACATATCAAACGCTCTTTCATGATATGAAAGTGCTTGAGTAAATTCACCCATGTTGTGATGTATAAAGCCAAGATTGTGGTAGTAGGCAGCCAAATCAGGATGAATTGAAGGAATAGATTTTAGAAAGATATCTAATACTTTTTTATAACGTGGAAGTGCTTTCGGATACTGTTTCGTCTGGTAATAGACAGCTCCAATATTATTTTAAGATTGAGCCAAATCTGGATGGTTCAGAGAAAGCGCTTTTTGAAGAATTTCAAAAAAAGTAGCTAAGGTAGATTGGCATAAAGGAGAAGATATTCAACTGATTTTTCGTAGACAGTAACCGCGTCTGCGTATTTTCCTTGACCACCTTTAATCAACCTGATCTGATTATATATGGTTACCTTCTTCATTATCACTGTAGGTTTACTTCAGAAGTACGTTATAAATTTTGTCAGCTTCATCAAACATGTTCAGCTTAAGTAGTAATCGACCAAGCCGATCCCATTTTGTTGATCCTTTAGTTTCTTCTCACACACATTCGGTAAGCATTTTGAGGACATGAGTGTGTGCGAAGAGAGGATCTGTAATTTTGACTGCACCCACAATCACACCCTTCTTCAGATCCAAATGGAATGCATTTTATACTGTTTAAAAGATGAGTTTGGAATTAGTATAAAGCTAATAACAAAGCCCAAAAAAATATATAAAAATGTTCTCACGGTCTTTTGTGTTTAAAAACATTTTTCAAACAGATAATCAGTTTTAGGATACGCTGATGTTTTCTAGTTTCCATCGGCGAAGATGAAATTTTTAGTAACTAAATATTAAAAAATTATCTTTTTTTTTTCCATATGGTTTCTTTTTGATAAATGTATCATGAGTATATAATAAAAAAGTGAAACTAGAAAATATCAATTCTTTTGTTTTCATTTTAGTAGCTTACATAAGTCAACAAGTAAGAAATTTATTTATTTACGATGAGCACCTACCTAACATGACTGATGAAATGACAACACAAAAAAATCTTCTATTACTACGGTTTAGTCATACGCTCACTGCAACCATCACACTCTCTAGAAAGACAATTTTTTCTTTTTATCTGTACAATTTACACAAAATAGGGCTAAGCATAATTTATCTTTTAATGCATACAAAACAAATTTTGAAATTTCTCTTTGACAATTTATTAAATTGATTTTTTGAAAACCAAACCAGTAAAAAAAGACTCTTGCTATATTCTCACAGAATAAGTGTCGCCATTATTATATTGCTCTATTCATAATTGTATAGTCTTTTTATCACTCGGAAAATTCTATTGCTTTTGATCGGTGATAAAATAATTAGTCAAAAACATGCACAAATATGATTTCATGTATTGACTGACATTGTTCGATAAACATTAAGTAAAAAAAAAATAGAGCATAATGTAATTGAAGTTATCATATTCAGGTTAGTTCATTAATCAAGAGAACACAAGTTAAACATTAACATAAAGTAACAGTTAAAAAAAAACAAAATCGTATCAATACAGTCCATGATTATTTCACATTTGCATAATTATCCCTATTGCTTAGTTGTAGAACAGAAACATACTACTAAGACGAAAATAATAATTGCTCATCGAAGTTGCATTTCTATTATATTGACGATAGCATGTAAAGCAGTATAATCTCGATGAAAAGAAGTATGAGGTGAAAGAAAGAAAATAATTTCACATTTTTTTAAAAATTTAATACAAGAAAATACAATAACAACATCATCGTCATCATGTTCAACAATGCACAATTACTAAATAAGTTTAGCTACATTCCAACAATCAAGAATGCCAATTAACAAATAAAGAATTGCACCGGTTTTATGGAAGAAAAATGGATAAAAGAAAAGAGAAAAAAAAGACAACAAAATAGACTAGAAGAAATTTTTATATAATTATCCATGCTTTTTTCCATATACAGCTCTCATTATTCGTAGACAACCTCGAACCATTTTTGAAAACCAATACAAGTTGATAATATCAAGTATAGTACATACAATTATAAGAACAAATCTAAAATGGCCCGTATGTGGCCATAATGGAGTTATTGCAACCGTGTAAACTTTCCACCAATAAATAGGCATTGCTAATATGCGAACAAAAAAGAAAACTAATGTCATCAACAGGCCATTGCAAACAAAGGCTTTTGATGTTTTGGAAAATTTCAATGTATCAAGAAACCATCTGAAAATAAATGATTGATTATAAGAAGAAAAAAAAAGAACACTGAAATAAATTTCTTTACCTTATATTTACTAAAGGTGTCGATAATTCAGCAAGTAGTCGAAAATTAGCAAAATACGGCATAACATCAAGTGTTAATACATGCACAAAAGCATATACAGAAACAAGATGATGAGCCATACTAAATGGATCACCAATTTTATTGTAATGTATCATACTAATTGCCGTGTCTAAAAATAAAAATCAAAAAGATTTATTAAAAATAATTAATTCTCAAAAAATTTCTTTATTAAATCAGTAGATATGAGAAGCTGTTGTGAAAAAAAAAATATTTAATAGATTGCATGTAACAAAGGTCCAAACAGGTCTATTTTTCGTGAGTCAATGAATTTGATGAAGTTAGTTGAAAAAAAAACATATCAAATTCTGCAACGTTACAACAATAAAAATTAGTCAACACTTGCTGCAAGACAAAACAATAACCGATTGAATAATTCAAATAATAGTAACTTAATAAAACGAATAAATAAACGACATGAGATAAGATTGAGTGTCACTACACCATTTATACTCCTATTTGTACAACAAGTCATCGATACATTTGAAATATGATACATCTCTTACTGATATTCGAAAAACTTACGATCAATAATGAGACTAATCAATTCATATTTGAAAATTAAATCTTATCTTAAACTTTAATTTCATAGACCTGCTTGGTTCGAATTTAGCTATCTACATTAAAAGTTAATCGATTGAAAATGAAATAATTAGAAAATTAGTGTGTCAAGTATCTTTTCAAGGTTATATTAACCTGCTGTTGCCTCAAGTTTTGATATGAATGTTGACTTGACATTGAAAATGCAATGCAAATTATTCCATTATTTGATGTGTTCTATTTTAAAGTCTTACCGCTTAATAAATATCCAATGACAATTGATAAATTTGTTTTTAACAAATAACTTTTGTATCTTAAAAAAAGAAAAGAAAAGAAAAGAATCAAATAAATCGAACGAAAATTTTTATAATTATTCTTACAATAGTGGATTCGCTTCCAGTCCATGATCAGCAATCATCATATATATACAAATAATACCAACAGTAAATGAATTAATTGATGAATTAATCCTAAATAAATGACATTATCATTTAAGGATTTCTATAAAAATGAAAATTTTACCTAGTACTCCAATCCACTTTTTGTGCAATAGTAAAATTTTTGTAATCTTTGATTAATAAATTTGATAAAAATGGATTAATAAATTTATAAAGAAAAATAAACAAAGTAAAACTTGTAGCTACAACAGGTAAGAATTTTGGATCAAATTTGATATGAAGCATTTGTTCAAAATTATATGAAGAAAAATAATTTTTCGTCGTCATTATTGTTGTGCTTGTAGTCATTATATTTTTGTTTTTTTCTTTTAATTAATTCTATTTTGTTGCATATTAGCTCTAGAAAGATAATGTAATCTTGAGAAATATAAGTTCTCAAAGTCTTTATTTTCAATAGATAAAATACAAAGATAAGAAGATACAGGAGATTACACTCATTTACCTGAAGTACAAAGTACTGATTAATAATTTTATTTCTCTTAACCCTCAAAACAGACTTTATATTAGAATAAATATTTATTCAAAAATAAAACCACTGAAGTCCAAATGCTTATACTAATACGACACGTGGATGATTCATAAAAACCGTTGTTAATACCCAATGAGAATTGTAGAGAACTAACCAGATGTCGTTCTTATCATAAGCTAAATATTTCTTTTGTATTCACCGAATTTTGTTTTGCTAATAATCATCAATAAATATCCAATGAAATTTCTCATAGAATTTCGTGCCTTAAACTAATGAGTAAGGAAAATAACGCTGTCCAGTGGAATAACTGGAATAGCAATTAATTACTCGAATTTTTGTATAGGGGCGACAGGTTACCCGCTTGAGTAGATTCCACTACTTTTCGGAATCTATTCGTGTTGTAGCGACCTAGCCCCAATAAAAATTTAAATTGTATTATTTTCTTTTTATTTATTATGCATATGAAAAGGAATAGCAAAAATTCGTAAAACAAAATGAAGATGAACAAAAAATAATTCTCATATCTCCTGAGCATCCACATATACACATACCAATTTCATTAAATAAATAATACAAGAATACAAAAACGTTTGAAAATACACACAAGAAAAAAAAAACAAGAATGAAAATTTAAAAAAAAAACAGAAAAGACAAAATTTTATTATTGCGATTAATTTCAAAATGATCTATCCGAATAAGGATATTATTTTGTTTCAAATAATATCTGACATTCAATTTTAAGATCGAATTGAAGTCGTTGTTTCATAATCAAGCATTTGATCAAGTTCACGATTAAGATCAGACAACATTGAATCAATATCAGATAAAACATTCGTTGCATCATGTCTACAAAATTATTAATAAAAAAAAATGATTAGAAAATTTTTAATTTAGTTAGATGTTATTCCTTAGAATCAATAAAACATGTTGTGTATCATTAAAATACAAATATACAACATATTTTTCTTCCAAAAACTGCATAGTATTAGAAAGAAATATAGAGAACTAAAACAAATGATGAGTTTATGAAGAATACCGTTTTCTTATTATTGTTAAAAAGATCTCAATCACTACGTCTTCAAACTAAAGATTGATGAGAAGGATATTTTTTTTATTACAATCACGCATGTACATCATTCAAATTGATCGAATTCAGATTCGATCTTGAATGTAGTCATTTTCAACCATTGGAGAGCCACAAATATTCTAAACGAAAATACAAGTCTGTCCCTAGTTAGATTACTTTTGACGCGAGACTACATGCATTATGTAGAACCTCATAAGCTATGAATGTCCTGAAAACAGTTCAGGCTAGTGGTTTCTCTCAGGAGTACCACGAAAAACTGTTTATCGAAATTCGGCTTGAAACTTTGCATAGAGGTAGTTCTTAAAGAGAATATTTTCTTGTGGACGTTTCAGATCTGGTCATTGTTCTTATCATAAGATATAGGTATCTATCAGCAACAAAAGTATTCCGTCTTGTATTTTGATATGAAATGTAAAGTTTACAATTGGAACAAACGTATGCAAATATATATGGATATTACAAGTACACTCTTGCATAATATTTATTTGTATATTATTGTAAGCTTCATTAAGCCCCCCCCCCCCCCCTCTTTTCAGAAAAACTAATTTTCCTAAGAAAAGTGAAAGTCGAATTTTTATCATAGGAAGATGTACCGTGATCTCTTCTTTCAGAATATATATGGCTTTTCGCAAAACGAATAGATTTTAACAGACTTATCGGCAGAAATGTGGGCCCTACTATCATTTTTTTCGAAAAATTTTCGCGGCTTTTTTAAAGTTTTTCAGTTTTTGATAGACAGCCTTTCAATTGGCATCAGCGTTGAATAAAGCTTTTTTATATTAATTACTAAGAGCCTACTAATACTTAAGATAAAGATCACATACTTATAGTCTGTCCAAAACATTGCCGTATAATTTGCGTGTATTTCGCAAAAATCGATTTCTAAAACTTATTT